AGTTGAACGTGTGTGTCACTTGTAGAGAAGTTTTTGGAATTTTTTGTCATTCTTAAGATAGCATTAGAAACCTAAAAGCAAGAGTTCACAACAAAACTTGAGATTTTGAATTAAATGAAGAATATCATTGATGTTTCTAATCATTCTATTTTTAAAAGACTTTTCCACATAAGTATTGATATGCATGAAATGGTGTTTATGTGGAATCATGGAATAACATCAACATTGTTAACATTTAGAATGTCCATACTAAAGAAAACATACCCTAAAGATTATCCAACCCAATCTAGAAATAGCATTGAGACCCATATGAGTTTCACATTTACAAATTCAACGTCTCCTTTAGTTTAAAGTACTTGTTGAGTTGAAGAGGCATTCACAATTTTTTTCAGGGAATGAAATGTTACCATATGAAAATTTTCCAAGGAATTCAAGGGTTAATTCACTTATGACACCTCAGTGCTGTACCATACCTCCTAGACAATCTAACAAGAGAATCTCACCATCATTTATCTAATAAAATGGCCAAAATTCAAACAATACAAAAAACGTTCATGCGTGACCCTGACCATTATCATGCATATTTTCTCATAATAATGCATAGTATACATAAATTAAAAGGCATGGGCGACTTGTATGATCTAAAATTAAAATGAAATGAGGTAACAGAGTTACAATGAATTTTTCCTAAATGAACAAAATGGTTAAATTATAAAAGATCATGTAGCTCTATCCAACCTTGTTAATAAAGTTCGGAAGGTTACCCTATTAGTAAATTTAACGAAAAAACTTAATATCTACGACATCATGTTCCTTAGATAAAGTTTCGCATGCTCGCTGTTGAGTTTTCTTAATCTTACAATTTCTTCACTAAATGGATTGTGCTAAAATAGAGAATAAAATAATGTTTGAAGTAGCATGTAAGCTAAATAAGAAAGAATGCAAAATTTGCAATATCGCAACAACAGAGTCAATTATGGCAAGCATCACTTTTACAGACCAATCTTGACACTATCTTATGGATAGATATAAGTTACTTGAAACCAGAAATATTGACTTGAAATCGCAATTAATGGATGCATAAGAGTTAATTTCTTGAATCTTTGAATAATTTCTTAAAAGTATACCAGAAGGTATACAACTAAGTTCTAAAGCATTGTTAATATTAGGAGACATAACTTAGCACATTAATGTGAAAATCACCTTCAAAAATAGAATTATAGGCTTTTAGTTAATTTTAACCCTATAGAATTATCACTGGAAATTACCTCACCAGTGCATCTGCCCATCAATCAATCTTTAAAAATGAGTAGATGAGTCTTATTAATTAGAAGCATGCATAAAAGCCAATGGTACCAGAGAGCACTATATAAAAAAAGAACATGCAACACTCTTTCAATTGTCTTAGTGATGCCTAGTTGAACATATTGATCATAGAGGAATTGTTATGGTGACGACAAACCTGATGTTAAGAGTGTCCTCCACCACCACAGGTTGTGTCACTACAAA